AACACACACACACACACACACACATATATATATATATATATATATGTACATACTGTATTATTTCCCGACACACAAAAACGTAAATGAAAAATTCATATTTTTAGAGTATATGGAATTTTTATCCTACTTTATTACAGGTTTGTACAGAATGTATGGTGGCAAAACAAATTAAATCCATTGTCATGTTCAGCTCAGATTGCAAAAATGTTATTCATTTACCTGTATATATAAAAAAAAATTTAAACATATTCTTCTGTTAATTTAAATAATATAATGCTATACGAAAATACATAACATAGACTCCAGACAGCAACATACACAAAAAATAAAATTTATTTTTAGCACAATCCTAAATCTGACAAGAACTCTCAACTTTACATCAATCTACAGTATTTATCTCAATTTTGTTTACTAGTGGCACAGGTACAGTACAGTATGATGCACAAGTCAAATCTGTAGTACATGAACTTATAAGAAGGATTTCGCCTAATAATACAGGCCTTTGTGAAATGTGCCATGATTAAATATGTACTTAAATAGGTTTTATAAATTGAAATGGCCAGAACGGTGACATTTAAAAATGTTTAATGAAAACCTCACTTTCATGTATTTTACATGTAATGTATTTTATTTTCTCTTCTTTTTTCTTAAAAGATGGGTTAAGCATTGATGTGACGAGCACTAAATGTAAAGATACAAACCAAAGACTGGTTTAGAAAGCAGTATGAATAAACTCATCACTGTGGCAGTCAGTATTGTTGCTTATGTTGTTGTACATATGAATAGCTTCCTTACCATGCGATGCACTGTTTAATTCAATTTTATTTCTAATTGTATGTTAAGCTGCTATATTGTTATCCAGATTTTGTACCATAACCTTCTGAGTAACATTATGTAGTAATTTGGTAGCTCTTTAGGCCTGTTGAATATGACAACAATAAAACTCAAACAGCATTTAGCTTTTTATTCTATAAATATGCTTCTTTTCTGTTTTCATGTTCATTAAACTGTTATGCATATATGTACAATACAGAAATTTTGACCTTTGATATATAGTAATCTCTCTTTTTTTTCAGTTCTTTTCACCCAAATACAAATGTTGCACCTATAATATGACTTTTCAATGCTGAAATAAAGACTTAATTTTTTATATAAAAAAGTAATAATTTGTGGTTATTTTTGTTTGTGCTTTAGAAACTTGACATAAAATCATCTAAGTATGTAATCATATAAATATATACTTATAAATATATTAAATAAGTTACAAAACATATTTTCTTTGCTGTGTGATAATGTATACATCTAATGTGTGTGTGTGTGTGTGTGTGTGTGTGTGTTAAATGTGTCTTTTTTAGCTGTGTATTAATTGCAACATGTATATACACCAAAAAATGTGTGGAGCTTTGCTTAATTTCTTTATTATTATTACTATTACTACTACTACTACTTGTTACGGAAGCATACTCGGAACACAGAGATGATGGTGAACAGGAGTTTATTGACAATAACGTGAGCTCAGCAGAAAATCAGGTGGGTAGACTGGGTAATAATACTGGAGCAGAGTGGACGAGGAATATGAAGATAGTCTCTATCTTACAAGACCAGGAGATCGTTGATGAGCGGATGATCAGGAGCACGGAGAAGATGGAGGACAGGGAGGAGGAGAACACGCTGGAGAATAACAGGAGGTAAGCACAGGATAGACACTGAAGAACTAGCTTGGAGAATCGGTTGTAGTAACTGGGAATTAGTCCTTTATGTGTTAACGAGACCGGACACTGGAGTGAGGTGATGAGTGTGCTTTTGAAGCCAGCTTGATGAATGTGCAGATGGATGGCAGGTGCGTGTGATTAGTACTCTGGTGAGGGAGTGAGCTGGGATTGGCTAGTGTGGAGACTAGGCTGATTAGTGACAGTACCCCCCCCTCCACGGCCCGCTCCTGAGGGCTGGGGGCCCCGACGTCGTGGTGGTCGACCTATTCCTCGGGGAGCAGGGCGATCTGGATGAGAGGTATGAAAGGTGTCTAGCAGAGTGGGATCAAGGATATCATTTCTGGGAACCCAGGACCGTTCTTCTGGGCCGTAGCCTTCTCAATCCACCAGGTATTCTAGACGACCACCACGGCACCGGGAGTCCAAGATCTCGACCTTGTAAGCCGCGCCGTCTTCCAGGATTAACGGAAGGGGGGGGTTCCACTGCAGTGCCAGGCTCTGTGGAGACAGAAGTGGGAGAATGGTGAGGTTTGAGAAGAGACACGTGGAAGGTGGAGTGAATTCTGTAGTGAGGAGGCAATTGGAGTTGGTAAGTTACAGGATTGATCTGCTTGGTTATGGTGAAGGGGCCAATGTATCTGGGACTAAGCTTTTTGCAGAGCAAGCGCATCCTGATGTCTCTGGTTGACAGCCAAACCTTCTGACCTGGTTGGTAGGATGGAGCTGTGGAACATCTCGGGTCGGCTGTCATCCTGCGTCGGCGCAAAGCCCTCTGAAGCTGGTGGTGAGCTGCGTCCCAGACCCTCTCGCTCTCCCGGAACCAGTGGTCGACAGATGGAACATCAGATGGCTCTCCGGACCATGGGAGGAGAAGGGGCTGGAAACTGAGTACGCACTGGAATGGAGTGAGACCAGTGGTGGGCTGACGAAGGGAGTTCTGCGCGTACTCGGCCCAGCCCAGGAACTGGTTCCAAGAGTTCTGGTGGCCATGGCAGAAGGTTAGTAGGAAGCGACCTATCTCTTGGATCTTTCTCTCCGTTTGCCCGTTCGACTGAGGATGGCAACCTACCTGACACCTAGGAGGGCAAAGAAGGCTTTCCAAACTTTTGAGATGAACTGGGGTCTGCGGTCTGACACAATGTCCTCTGGAATTCCGTAGTAACGGAAAATGTGGTTAAACATGAGTTCTGCTGTTTCCATGGCCGTGGGAAGGCCTTTGAGGGGGAGAAAACTATGTGATTTGGAAAAACGGTCAACAATCACCAGGATGCATGTGTTGCCATCTGAGGGTGGGAGGTCCGTAATGAAGTCCACTCCTAGGTGTGACCAAGGTCGGTTGGGAACGGGCAGTGGGTGGAGTTTGCCTGATGGTAGATGGCGAGGACTCTTCGAGATGGCACAGTCTGGACATCCCTGTACGAACCTTCTCACATCCCTGGCCATGCTGGTCCACCAGAAGCGATCTCTTAGCAACGACAGGGTACCATTGGCCCCTGGGTGGCCAGTGCCCAGAGATGAGTGCGCAGAGTGAATGAGGGGAGTGCGTTGTGCTCTGGTGACATAATACAATCCTGGTGGGCAGCCCGATGGAGCGGTGGTGGAGGCATTGGAGGAAGGAACTGAACTAGAGGACCATTGGATGGGACTCACAACAATCTCCTTGGGTAGGATGGGTTCAGGTTCCTCACCGACTTCACCTGGAGTATATAATTTAAATAATAATAATTTATGCATTTAGCAGATGCTTTTATCCAAAGCGACTTACAGTGCATTCAGGCTATACATTTTTTACCAGTATGTGTGTTCCCTGGGAATTGAATCCATGACCTTTTGCGCTGCTAACGCAATGCTCTACCACTGAGCCATAGGAACATATAGCATATAACTTAGTATATAAGCGGGATAGGGCATCCGCCTTAACATTCCTTGGACCTGGGCGATTGGAAATGGTGAAATTAAAACGGGTTAAAAATAATGCCCAGCGGGCCTGGCGTGGATTGAGTCTTTTGGCTTCTCGTACATACTCAAGATTCTTGTGGTCAGTGAGGACAGTAAAGGGATGGTTGGCACCCTTCAGCCAATGCCTCCACTCCTCGAGTGCCAGCTTAATAGCGAGGAGTTCCCTGTTGCCTATATCATAATTCTTCTCCACCCGGCTGAGTTTGCGGGAGAAGAAAGCACATGGATGGAGTCTGGCTGTCCCCTGCTGCTGAGACATCACCGCTCCCACCCCAGTGGTGGATGCATCTACCTCAACGATGAATGGTTTATTGGGGTCAGGATGGACGAGGAGCGGTGCGCTGGTGAATGCCTCTTTGAGTTGGTTGAAAGCTTCAGTGTCAGATGGTGACCAGGACAGAGACTTATGCTTGTTTTTCAGGAGACTGGTGAGAGGACAGGCGATGGAGCTGTAATTGTTAATGAATCTCCTGTAGAAATTTGCGAAGCCGAGAATGCGTTGGAGCTCTTTGATGGTTGTGGGGACTGGCCAGTTCTTAATGGCTGCTACCTTCCCCTCGTCCATCTGGATGCCACTGCTGTTGATGTGATAGCCAAGGAACTGCACAGAGGTTTGGTGGAAGGAACACATTTCAGCTTTGAGGAACAGATGGTACTTTCTCAGGCGTTTTAGGACCTCCGCAACGTGGTGGCGATGTTCGGCCATACTCCGGGAGTAGACAAGGATATCATCTATGTAGACCAGCACAAATTTGTGGAGAAACTCCCGGAGAACCTCGTGCATTAAATCCTGGAATATGGAGGGGGCATTGACCAGGCCATACAGCATAACGCAGTACTCATAGTGTCCTGTAGGGGTCACAAATGCAGTCTTCCACTCGTCCCCCTCACGTATCCGGATGAGGTTATATGCATTGCGGAGGTCCAACTTGGTGAAGACAGTGGCTCCGCGGAGGTGTTCTAATGCCGCTGGGACGAGGGGAAGAGGATACCTGAACTTCACAGTAATTGTATTAAGTGCTCGGTAATCGATACAAGGCCTCAAGCCTCCGTCCTTCTTAGCCACGAAGAAAAAACTTGAAGCAGCAGAGGATGTAGAAGGGCGGATGTAGCCTTGTTGTAGGGCCTCTTCAATGTACTCCTTCATGGCTTTCTGTTCAGGGTTGGATAGCTGGTATATCTTCCCGCAGGGCACTGGCTCAACCGGCAGCAGATCTATTGCACAGTCCCATAGCCGATGTGGAGGCAGCTTGGAGGCTCTTTTAGGGCAGAAGACGTCTCTGAAGGGGGCGTAGCAGGATGGGATGTCGACTGACTGTTTCTCTATAGGGCTCTCAATGGAGGTGGAGCAAACTGGAAGGGTCTTGGAGACACGGTCTGGAGGACGAGGCAGTAGAGGGAAACAGTCGGGAAAGCACCTCTCGCCCCACTTCAGGATCTCGCCTGATTCCCAGGAGAGGATGGGACTGTGCTGGGTTAACCATGGGCGCCCTAAGATCACATCAGTGATGGAATCCTCCAGAACCAGGAGATGGAGAGTTTCTACATGTAATTGGCCGACTTGGAGCTGGAGAGGACTGACACAACAGCGTACATGCTTGCGACTGAGGGGTTTGCCAGTTACCGACTGGACCTGGTAGGTGGTTTGGGTGGTTGTGGTTGAGAGGTTGAGCTGACGGCAGAGGGCACCAGAAATGAAGTTCCCGACTGATCCGGAATCAAGGAGGGCATTGACTGGAATGGAAACATTCTATGGTAAGTATTACCATAGTGGTGAGTGGCTTCATATTGACAGTTGATGGTCTTATATAACTCACCATGGGCCTCGGGGGGCGGATTGGGCATGCAGAAATAACATGCCCCGCAGCTCCACAATACAAACATAAACCCTGGGTCAGGCGCCTCTGCCGTTCAGCGAATGAGAGTCTGGTGGTGTCCACTTGCATGGGTTCGGTGCCTAGTTCTGGAGTGCTGATGGACTCTGACCGGCGGAAGGTAGGAGTGAAAAGCTGCTGACCCTGTTGGCCTTCCATACATGACTGCATACAAGAGGCGACTCTGATTGACAGCTGGATGAAACGCTCGAGTCCGATGGTGTCATCGTATGCAGCGAGATGCAGCCGCAATCTAGGCTCCAATCCCTGCTGATAGGTAGTCAGGAGCGAGCGCTCGTTCCATCCACTGGCTGCCGCGAGAGTCCTAAACTTGAGGGCATAGTTATTTATAGACATAGAACCTTGGTGAAGATGATAAAGTTGCTCACCCGCTGGTCTTCCCGGAAAACTTTTGCTATTACTATTCATGTTGTAGTAGTAGTAGTAGTAGTAATACTAATTAATAATAAAAATAATAATAATGTAATGTGTATTTTAGTTATTGCAATCCTGTTAACAGCTCTAATGTTAGACTCAGACTCTTATTATTTTTTTAA